TGTGGAAGACGATGCCTGGCCGCGTTAAACAAGTTCCACAAGATTCAACAGAATGAGATAGAACAGATACGGGGCATAGTACTGATAAACATCTACACGTGTGAGATCGATATTGATTCTAGTTCTGAACCCTCTAGTATAAATAAGGTATAAGAAATATATATACTGGAAGTTATTTATGCGTTTTCATTTGAGTCTGACTCACGTCCTCTAACCCAATTAAATTTTTTTTAAAATTCCACTAACATTGCCCCCCAATTGTAAAAAATGCCTCAATTAAAAAATTAAAATTAATTTTTAGTTTTGCCTCCCAATTTAAATTTTTTAACCCCAAATGTCTTAGAAATGCACCCAATCTTTAAGGAATGCCCCTTATTAAAAAAAATTGCCCCCAAAATAATGATTCAAGAACTCATAATTACCCTAGCAAAAAAAAATTAAGGTTTGCTCCATACATATTTAGCCCCAAAATGAGAGTTGACATTTTTTGACTTTACCTAAATACCCATGTAGCCCCTCCTGTAGGTCTAAAACCGGGCTTTAATACTAACTACCTGAGTCCACATGTGCACACTGCCTGAATGACTACGTTTTCCTGTAACAAACTATATCTTTGTTTTGACACACTTTAAGTTGTCAGATTTGTTTAATATATCTTCATTTATTATTATCAGGTTAAAAATATTTCGATAAATTAATTGATTTGTTTTAATTCTTGGATTTCTTCAGGTTCAGGTTTATTCTCTTCTTCAGTTTTCCAGGCTCTTAGCTGGAATATTCTCATTCGTCTAAATACATATACAAAATATAGGGAGAGTAATAAAACAGGGATCATCAATGTTTTGACGAAATTTTCATAATTTCTATTTTGTTCGGATTGTAGACATACGTAAAATAAAATGTGAGGGAAAAATTCTAAAATATTTTTGGAACATACGTAAACCTATGTAAAAGCTTTATTATTTTAGGTTCAATAATTTGAATCAAGTGTTTTATCCCTAAAAAATCCGACCAACCCATTTTTTTGAAAAATTTAATTTTAGAAAAACTGTTGAGCAATGTTTATACTTTTGTTTTCTAAATTTTCATAAAAATTGAATGAGATATAACAAAATATATATGAGCCAATTATTTGCATTTTTGAAGTCATAATCGCGTTCTAATTGGTTATAATTTGATAATATTTTCTACAGATTTCCATGCTAATTTGTTTGCGCATTTTTTTTTTTGAAAATGCACCAATTTAAACAGAAGTGTAACATTCAAAAGCTATAAATTGTTAATAGAAAATATAAACCTAGTGTTAATGTTAAAAAATTAACCCAAAAAATGCCCATTGACCATCAAATTATTCATTTTAATCTGACGCATTTTAAATAAGAAAAAACAAATTTTGCTGAAATTAAAATGTTTGATTCTCCGACCACCCCATTCTGAAATGTTTTAGCATTGTTCCTTATTATACATTTGTTACCTGAAAATAGCATTTACTTGATCAATTGATTCCGGAAGTGATATTCCCTTCGTTTCCGGAACTAAAACACCAAGTATTATTAATTTACAAGAAAATGAATCGAATTTCAATTAAGTTTTTTTTTAAAAAGACATTGGAAAACTTTATAAAATGTCGTCTTGAATTTGAATTTGAAGCTGTCGAGTATTTTCCGCTCGCAGCTTCACAGGGTTATGTGTAATTTACTAAAACATATGTAAAATTTCTGTGGTGAAAATAAAAGTTTTTATCCGGAATATAAATGTTCTTTAATTATTTGGAAAGATAAAAAATAATTTCCCTGAAATACGTTGACAGCTTTATGTTTTTCGGCGCTAATTTACGTAACATTTTTTTCATATTTTCAGCGGAAAATCCCAGAAAAATCTTTAAGACGACATTTTAAAAATTCTTCCGATGTCCTATATTTTAATTCAACTGAATAATGTTCTAAGTCTTAGCGATTTTCTATGAATTCTACCAATTAAATTGTGCCTTTTTGAAACTTCAAAGATTGACACCATTAGGTTGAAAAGACACAGGGATTAGAAAATTTATGTTCTAAGAATTACGAATAAAAATTTAAAACAAATATGCATTTATGATATAATAACCTTACCAATTGTATGTTTTTGCAATGTAAACTTGCATTTACACTTTTAACAATAAAAATGCAAAGCTGAAAAACAGAAGCAAGGTATTTCATAGATAATGAAATTTAAAATAGTCCACATGCAACATGAAAGTAAACACCAGCTAGATGATGTAAAAACATACTAATTTAAAAATTTAATTTGAAAAATATAAAAATCGCACCTTTGTCGGAAAAAAATTGAACAGAGATCATGCAAATAAAATGAATATTATAAAGATACAAATAAAAAACTGCTAATTAAACAGTAAATATAAGAAGCATGTTCAATTTTTAAATTTAAAAGACGAAGCGAGAAGAAAAAAATCTACCTAATACAGCTGCAATAGTACCAATCACACCGAGAGAAACAAATACAACATATGGCAGTCTTTTATCAATACTATCCTAATAATAATATAGTATTAGATGATATGGCAGTCTTTTATCAATACTATCCTAAGAATAATATAGCATTATATGATATGGCAGTCTTTTATCAATACTATCCTAAGAATCATATAGTATTAGATGATATGGCAGTCTTTTATCAATACTATCCTAAGAATAATATAGTATTAGATGATATGGCAGTCTTTAACAATACTGTCTTAAGAATAATATAGTATTAGATGATATGGCAGTCTTTTTTATCAACACTGCCCTAAAACAAATACATCATATACCGGCCTTATATCAATACTGGTCTAAGAAAGGGTATTCAATTATGCCTATTATCTTTCTGTCGGAGATAACTACAGCCGTTTTTCATTGGTGTTCAGATTTATGAATTTTTTAAAGTAAATGATTTTTAAAATATTTTTTTTGCTATTTTTTATATTTTAAAAACTTACCATTTCCATAGTAAAAGGTGTGGTCATAGAGATCGTTAGAGAAACAACTACACTCAAGTTTATTCCAGTATTTCGTACACAAGTAGGGAACACCTTAGCACAATATCATAAACAGATGTTTTCGTAAAGTTTTTTAATAAACATTATCTTCCGAAAAATGAACATTTTGTGATCCACAAAGCTGTTGATTAAAATACATCATGTTATTAAATAAAAAGAGCTTATGTACAGTTTGTACAGTACAACTCTCAAAATTCCTTTTTGTTAATTGGACTACATTAAAATAAGAGCTGAAGGTCAAAAGTTGTCTTCGTATCCCACAATTGTAACTTGCATAGCACTTTTTCGTATAATATAAATTGAAGTGTTACCAGGGATACAAGGGATGCAAGGGATACAAGGGATACAAGATGCAAGGGATACAAGGGATACAATTGATACAAGGGATACAAGATAAAAGGGATACAAGGGACACAAGATAAAAGGGATACAAGGGACACAAGATGCAAAGGATACAAGGGATAAAAGGGATACAAGGGATACAAGGGATACATGGTATACAAGAGATACAAGAGATACAAGGAATACAAGGGCTACAAGGAATACAAGAGATACAAGGAATACAAGGTATACAAGGTATACAAGGGGTACTAGGAATACAAGGGATACAAGGGATACAAGGGATTCAAGGAATACAAGAGATACAAGGAATACAAGGGATACAAGGGATAAAAGAAACACAAGGGGTACATGAGATGCAAGAGATACAAGGGATACAAGGGATACGATTCACCGACAAAGGGTCAAACGACCCAGGGTCAAACGACACAGGGTCAAACGACACAGGGTCAAACGACACAGGGTCAAACGACACTGGGTCAAACGACAAAGGGTCAAAAGTGCGACAAAGGGTCAAACGACAAAAGGTCAAAATGATAAAAATATTTTTTGATTTGAATCATAGGAAACTCGCAATTTTAATCACAAAAATCCGCCAAACTTTTTTGAAGATTTAAAACTTTAGTCTGATTCTGGCTTCCATAATGGTCGGGTTGGCAATATAATTGACCATGTTGNATACAAGGGATACAATGGATACAAGGGATGTACGTACATATGATACAAGACATACAAGATACAAGATACAAGGGATACATGGGATAAAAGGTATACAAGGCATACCAGGGATACATTTGGTTCAAGGGATACTAGGGAAACAGCAAATATAAGTGTTACAAGGGATACACTTAAGTATCACACGGGAGACATGGGATACAGCAGATACATGGGATACAGCAGACACAAAGGAATACATTGTTACAAGGGATACAATAATTCAGGGAATAAAGAGAAGGGGTTTCCTACCTCTATAGATTGCACCCACATAATGAACCAAGCAATGTTACTCATTCCCTTGGCTGTAAGAGAGAGTCCGAAAACAGCATTTTCCATTCCCTCCAGGTTTATTATACACAGGTTTGCTAGGAAACAGCCTGAAAAATGAGTATCTAATAATGATTTTAGCAGTTGTACAATTGTACACTTTTTCTACTCACTATCCACTGAAAAAGTGTTTTTGGATTGATCCAGTTAATTGAGACAACAATTACACGGCTCTCATCGTGCATGACTGGATCTACAAAAAAACTTTTGGTCCATTTAAAACTTTGAAGCTTAACCAAGCAATCAGCGACTTTCGATCACCAGAGCTGAAAACTATCGAGATCAATGTTTGATCTCTTCTTTTCTTAATCTCCAGATTGATTAACTGATCGGGATTAAGGCTATCCCATTCTAAAGTTTTTATCTCTTTTACTTTTTCGTGTGATGTAACTTTCCTCAGCTTTAATTCAGGTCGAAATCTTTAAAAGCAAATCTATTATAAATGTGAAAGTATAATCTTTTTGTAAATCTAGGATTTAGATTAAACAGGGATTCCACTTTCAACGGATTTAAGGGAAAAAAAAGAATTTTAACACATTAAATCATTCCAGGACAGAGAAAACAATAGAAAAATAGATCATGAAAGATAAAAGATAGATAAATAATAAAAGCTAAATGGGCAGAAAAACAGCTGGATAGTGATGTAAGGGGTTGTGAACATTTTACTTCTTTGATGAAACTAGTTCTTAGCTGTTTAAACAAGTTACACTAACAGGTTTACATAAACCGGATTCGAGCTACATTGACTTAATAAACACTAATGGGGGTATACAAATGTTTGATCTCTTCTTTTCTTAATCTCCAGATTGATTAACCGATCGGGATTAAGGCTATCCCATTCTAAAATTTTTATCTCTTTTACTTTTTTTACTTAATAACAAACAATAATTGAGTTTCTGCTAAATTTTACTAATAAAGAAATTAAATATTTTTTTGCAGAAAACGTAGCTCATTTCTTAAAAAAAAGTAAAAGAAAATATGCTTAGGACTGATTGTTGTAAAAAAATGTAAAGAAATTGTTCATATTTTAGATTTAAAAAAAGAATAACTTTGTTCTTTTTTCTGGAATCTTTAAGGTTTTTGGACCTATACTTTCCAACATTTCAAAATTGTATCCAATAAAATTTTAGTTTAATTAAACTTTACGTAATATTTAGCTGACAAGAAAATACAAGGAAAAAACGCATTAAAAAAAAATAAAGTTTTTAATAAATGAACCTAACTATTTGCCTTCATGCACTACAGGCATATAGGATTATAATTACCATGTCTAATCTACTATATATCTTATAATTACCATGACTAATCTACTATATATCTTATGCCTTTTATCTAATATTAACTCTCTCTACTTGTCATACACCATGTCTATTATGTCTCCTGTTTAGTCTGTCTTGTGTCTGCTTGTCTATAATGTATTGACTCTGTCTTGTGTCTACCTGTGTTTTATGTATTGTGTCTGCTTGGTGTCTACCTGTCTATTATGCATTGTCTCTGTAAGGTGTTTTCCTGTTTATAATGTATTGTCTCTGTCTGGTGTCTACCTGATTATTATGTATTTTATCTGTCTATTGTCTACCTATCTATAATGTATTCTCTATAATGTCTTGTGTCTACCTGTCTATAATATATTGTCTCTGTCTAGTGTCTACCTGTTTATCATGTATTCATTATGTCTGGTGTCTACCTGATTTTAATATAATGTCTCTGTCTGGTGTCTACCTGTCTATAACGTATTGTCACTGTCTTTTGTTTACCTGTCTATAATATATTGTCATTGTCTGTCTATAATATATTGTCTCTGTCTGGTGTCTACCTGTCTATAATATATTGTCTCTGTCTGTTGTCTACCTGTCCATAATATAATGTCTCTGTCTGGTGTCTACCTGTCTATAACGTATTGTCACTGTCTTTTGTTTACCTGTCTATAATATATTGTCATTGTCAGTCTATAATACATTGTCTCTGTCTGTTGTCTACCTGTCCATAATATATTGTCTCTGTCTGGTGTCTACCTGTCTATAATATATTGTCTCTGTCTGGTGTCTACCTGTCTATAATATATTGTCTCTGTCCGGTGTCTACCTGTCTATTATATATTGTCCTATAAAGACTGATGGTAGTTCTGTGAGAGCAAGTAGTGCCTGGTTTAAAAACATATTCCCGGCTAAACAATTCTTATCAAAATCCATATTTATTGAAATAGCTTGCTTTGATTTGGTTTTTATATGATTAAAGGGACCGTACAAGTGTTTTCAGTGACCCTCAATATTGTACATATTTGATATGCGACTTTGTTTCATCAATAATTATAATTAGATATCCAATTATGTTTTGTTTTTAAAAACTATTTATTTTCATTAGTGGGTTCTCTACCAAAATGACTTTACCATGTCTTGTCTCGAAAAAAATAAATGAATAACAAAATTAAGGTTTGGAGAGTGTCGTTGTGTATAAGACACGCCTCTTTTTAAATGGAGGGTCAATTGAAATTAACACGACAGCCCCCCTTTAGATTTTAGACTTTTAAGCCAATATCGAAAATTAATTTGGTATGTTTACTTTATTTCAGATCTTATGTTTGCTTTACAATAACAAATTTGGAATTAGAGATTGGAACCTTTTGGATCTTTATATCCAATGTGGACACTTTTAATTTGGAGTTATAGTTGATGCATTGATCTCTAATCTCATCTTATCCAGACACGGTGGACTAAGCCAGTGGGGTCGGTCAAATAGGACTAGGATTAGGCCGGGTACTGTTAAAAGTCTGAACGCGCCATTGGAGTTGTCATAGTTAGCCCTCGCACGGCACTATGCCAAGAAAATTGACCCCTGTCGTATGTTAATCTGGTTAGGGCGACGTACTGTACCATAGGATCGGGTCAGTACACGCTGTTATCTGGCAGGCCAGTACAAACTGGGCAGGTCCTGTTCGAATTCAAATTTACTAGGGGGATAGGGTGCAAGTGCAGATCTATTGATTGATTTATTTCCTCTTGCATATTAAGATATTGAATTAAAATAAAAATTAGTTTATTCCTAAATTTTGTGCATTGAGAAGACCAGCAAAGTAGAAGTAATCATTAACTGAGTATAGTGTAGCCATACAAACTAGCAGACGTAATAAATTCCGTTCTTTAAACATAGAAACAACGCCTTAACAATAGAATTTTCAAATGTCGTTTTCATAAAAAGCTTGAAAATTGTTTTCACTTGAGACTTTAGATTATATTAAAGGGACTGTAAGCGTAATTTCAAGTGACTCTATATGCTATAAAGGCAAAGTCTAATTTGCAACGTTACCCTTGAAACCTTTATCTCATCAAAAATGTATAGAAAAGTATTACTTTTGTAAGTTTCCATTGCTTCTTATAAGCAATTGAAATGTACAATTCAATTTCACAGAGAAACCGGAAATGAAAAAAAAAAAAAATGTTATGAACCACAAAACTTACAACTAATTTAAACCATGATCAGACAAAGCTCTCAATGGTACCGCAGTAAATCGGGCATTGCCATCTTTCTATGGAGGGCCACTTGAAATTACCTTTAAATAGACCCTTTAGATTATGCAAAAAATTAGCAAATATTGACATTTAAACTTTTTTTCCTAATGTTTCTGTTTCTATATTTTCCTCTTCTCCCATCTTTTCAAGAAATTTCTAAACGTTTAAAAAATTATTTTGAATTATGATAAAATTTAATATTTTAGACTATAGAGGGTGTCGTAAACGAATTTAAGATTCTTTTATCCTTTTACAAAAATTTCTGGGAAAAAGTACTTTATAGGTAAATAAAAAAAAAAATTTAATTTTTACCTCCATTTCCGGAATTGGTTCATCTCCATTTACTCTCCTGACCGTATTTAATATTTCAGCAGCTCTAAATGAAGGAAACATTTTTATCCATTTTCGCTAACATTGATTTACAGTTTATTAATATTTTTTTTCGGTAATACAGTGATATCCAAAATACTTTGGAGTAGGAAGTCGACTTTTAGACTCAAGTTATGACTTTAAACTTTTCATTGAACATAAGACACAGTATTTGTACAATTTAAACAGAACAATTTCACTTAATAAGTGATTTTATAGCTTACTATATACTAAAGCTTTTTCCTTTGTGACAACATCAAATGCTCTTTAGTATTGCAGTAATGTCGTCTTCCTATTCTACAGTTTTCTGGTTATCACTTTATTCAATTACAAACGGAAACCCGAGGTATATGGTTTGCTGATATAAGCTAATTATGCAGTGATAGCTTTGCGATAATTATTTTGATGAAAAGGCGAGGCCAAATCTAAACATTATTTTATCATAATCTATATAATAAAACAAGACATTCGTATATATGTTCCCTCTGGCCGGCCAAACGGCTTGACCGAATGGGCTGACATTTTTTGTGGACACTCTCATGGGTAGCCTGAGGGTGACAAAGGCTAAATTTTTTTCCACGTGCAACGCCGCCGTGCCCTTCAACTAGTTTCTACATAAAATTTTACAACCTGCCATATTTCTTCTGGCAGTACAGCAGTCTTGGGCTTTCTGGTACAAACGGGTACATGAGGGCTGTACATAACATGATCAAAACTCTTATTAAAAACAACAAAAACAAAATTAAAAGCAAAAACTAAGTTGAGAGTGTCTATTAATTAAGATGTTCTGCATTTTAGATTTTATCGTGTTTTTTGGTCTGATTTTTTTACAGGGTCACCCACAATTTCAAAAAAGATGAGACTTTAAAGACCGACTGTACGGAATTTTTCTTTTCTCTTTCCTCGATCATTCTTAAAAGTTTTAAATGACTGCTAGCTTTCTTCGCCAAAAAACTTTAGACATTATGATGAAGAATTTTTTGACGACTTACGCCAAAATATCGTCAGAATTTAAAAGTTTGAGGTCGTCATTAACGTCTCCTCTTTTGTGGATAACACTGCATACAAATTATTCTTTAATAAAGATCGAATATAATTTTATATATCAGGAGGCTGAATTTAAAGAATATGAGTCGCGGCTTTAATATATTTGGTTCCACTTAAAATTGTATTCAATGTTTTAAGTTTTAAGCCGGCGCTCAATTGAAACCGGTTTTACCGGATTTAAGACGCGGCTCAAATTCATTAGATTCGGACAAGGTTATTAATCAGATTATCTTATTTATAAAAATTTCAATAGAAACGATATAAATTTATTTTTTTGTTGTAAAGATAAATTAAAAGCCATTAATTGGAAGGACTAAAAAATTTAATTTTTTTTTTAAATGAGAAATTCTTAATGTCTTTTACAATTGGTTTGATTTTCTATTAATTAAAATAAATATTGAGTTAAGTTTCCTACTGTAAGATGAACTAGAGTAACACTAACCCCCAGTGTATACCATTCCTTGACATACTCAGCTGAAACAAAACAGTTTTATTGTTTTTAGCATTAGCAGCATTTAGCTTTTAGAGGGGAGGAAGGCAGCCACTTATATAAATTAAAATAGCCGAAATCTCCTCCGAGCCACCTCCAAATGCTAATTTTCTTTTATTTTTTGTTTCTTATTCAAATAAAAAGTTAAACATCTTAGGAAGCCATGCGAGGATGTGAAATTTTGAGATCTTTGAATTCATTTGAGACATATGGTCGGCAAGCTTCTTTCACATATATGATTCTTGAAACAATGACCATTTCCTAGTAGGAATTCCAAAATGTGGTCTGCCCTCTTTATTGATATTTTCGTTCAGGTTTTATTTTAATTAAATCAAACCAAAATTGTCGAAATGCGAACAAAATTCTTCATATCTCCGGTAATATTGAAAGCACTCAACGACAGACCACATTTTGGAGATGCCCGGACTAGGATTATATTGGGACTATTAACTTTACTCTAATATTTGGTTTACGAATAAATGCCGCAAATTATTTCAAAAATCAAAGACGACCTTCACGTCGTCATGCTACTCTCATGTTTCGTGGAACACCCTACGTACAATCTAAGATTTTATCGTAGAAAAAAGAATTTACCGAGGAAAGGAAAGGTTGACATCGCTGCAACCCACCAAACCCAACCAGATATAAAAGCAAACTTTCTCCCTCGCTCATTGCAGAATTCAGTTACCAATGTGTACCTGAATAATTGGACAAATTAAAACATAGATGTCGCAAAATCTTAAAAAAGAAAAAAATGAATAATTTTAAAAATCAATCTCGATTGTTTGTATTAAAGTTAAAAACCATGGGAAAGGTAAAGTTAACCCTATCCCTGCTGGGGTACTTGAAAACCAGGATATGCTGGGGGGGTCAATTTGACCCCCCCCCTCTCTAAATCCCATGTTTTATGTCCAAATATGACGAATGATACATCATTAGAAAGCTCTTGTGCTCTACTTTTAGAATCTGCAAAAAAATTAAAACTTATGTTATTTGATCTAAGAGAATTCATATTTCATAAGGATAATCAGGACATAACAGTTATTGTAATTTGTAATGACGAGAACAAACGTACTCTAAATATCTTATGATCAAAGTTTAAAGGTATATGATTTGATGAAGAGGATTTCTTTTCCACTTTTTTACTGATTATTTCTGTAGATTGTAAGGAGCCGGTTAAAATTTAAATCTAAAAATTGACAGTTTTTAATGTTTGAGACAAGAGTAGACATCTGTGTCATATTTGTCATATTTACAGCGGAAACTAGTATTTGGGTCAAGGACCGGGACTTCAGTCTTTATAAATAGAAATCAAAATAAATGAATTTTAAAGGGATTGTACGCATTATTTAAGATTAAAGTACAGAAAAGTGACTGCAAACCTACCGTACCCAGCCCTGACCGTAACCCAACCGGCTCTGACTGTAACCTACCCAGCTCTGACTTAACCTACCCGGCTCTGACTGTAACCAACCCGGCTCAGACTGGAACCTAAACAGCTCTGACGGGAACCTACCTGACTCTCATGTAGCCTACCTGGCTCTCATTGGAACCTACCCGGCTCTGACTGAAACCTAACCGGCACTGACTGAAACCTAACCGGCACTGACCGAAACCTTCCCGTCTCTGACTGGAACCTACCCGGCTTTGACTGGTACCTACACGGCTCTGACTGGAACCTACCTGACTCTGACTGTAACCTACCCGGCTCTGACTATAGCCTACCCGGCTCTGACTAGAACCTAGCCGACTCTGACTGTAACCTACCCGGCTCTGACTAGAACCTACCTGACTCTGACTAAAGCCTACCCGGCTCTGACTCGAACCTACTTGACTCTGACTATAGCCTACCTGGCTCTAACTAAAACCTAGCCGACTCTGACTGTAACCTACCCGGCTCTGACTGGAACCTACCTGACTCTGACTATAGCCTACCCGGCTCTGACTCGAACCTACTTGACTCTGACTATAGCCTACCTGGCTCTAACTAAAACCTAGCCGACTCTGACTGTAACCTACCCGGCTCTGACTGGAACCTACCTGACTCTGACTAAAGCCTACCCGGCTCTGACTCGAACCTACTTGACTCTGACTATAGCCTACCTGGCTCTAACTAAAACCTAGCCGGCTCTGACTGGAACCTACCCGGCTCTGACTGTAACCTACCCGGCTCAGACTGGAACCTACCCGGTTCTGACTGGAACCTACCCGGCTCTGACTGTAACCTACACTGCTCTGATTGTAACCTACCCGGCTCTGACTATAGCCTACCCGGCTCTGACTAGAACATAGCCAGCTCTGACTGGAACCTACCCCGCTCTGACTGGAACCTACCCGGCTCTGACTCCTACAGGGAAGAAGTTGGTCCCGAGTGCTGTGAGAGCGAGGAAAAGATAATAATGATCTGTCACATGGAAAGATATTAATCTAAAATTATTCAAACAATTATTTATTTTACTTTGTTTGATACTCCATGAAACTCATCTCGCCCCCTCCCTGACACTTCGAGGGGGGGTGGGAGAAGGGGGGGGGGGTACAATTTGTACTTCTATTCCCCATCTAAATTAACTTCTTTACGACTCTGAAACTTGTACTAAACATTACTTTCAAACTTTGAAGGTAATTGATTGTATAAAATTTTACAAAACAAAAAGGGTTTCTCATATTTAAGACCAAATCCCAGGTCATCGAGTGCATGCTAATTAAATAAGCATTTTAACATGTTCTCTCAAATTATTTAAAAAGAAAAAACGACATTGACAAAATTTGTTGTTCTTGTTCAATCTGATTAGAAAAAATTTAAGAAGAAAGGAATTAAGTCTTTGCCACAAAGTAAAATTTTCCTATCGTTATAACTTTGCAACCCAATGTCGTAGACCTTAGATATTTCAAACATATATGAATTCTGGTAGATCAAATAATTTGAGTTTGAAATATCGCACTTTACACTATCCAGTTGCAGAGACTTTGGGTTTTACAAATCTGAGTTTGTGACAAAAACTCATTTCCTTTTCATATATTTTGATTGAAAAATCCAAAACTGCCAGCACATAATATAGATTAGTATACAATCAACTATACCTGAAAACCATTGATATAATGTTGGTGATATGAACGGTAGCTCGTCTACCGATCTTATCAACGATCTGACCGAAGATGATTGAATTCAGGATACTACCAACAGCTGAATATAAATCAATTAAAGATCCCTTCACCCCTGACTGGGTATGATTACCTTGTGGGATATCAAGTAAGGATTGAATTAATCTGTAGATCTCTACATTTTGATAGTTCCCAGCTCTGGTTATATTTGAAATAATCAATTAATAAAAACCTGTTGCGGTGATAACACTGGCTCCTCGCAAACTCTGAAATAATATTTAAAACAAATAAAATTCATCTAACATTTAACTTGAAACTTTTACAGTGATAACCACATTACAAAGCAAATAGTTTTACTATACACATATTAAATCACTAATTAAGTGAAATAGGACTTCTTACATTGCACAATTGCTGTGTCCTGTGGTCATCGGACAATTGAAAGTCATAAGCGAAGTATAAAAGTCGTTTTCCTATTTAGAGTTTTCTGGTTCTCACAGTATTAATATTTAACACAAAACTATAAGTATAAAAATTGTCACTTTGTGAGAGAGAAAATTTTCTGAAAATGAAAACAGGTATTTTATCTAAAATATTTGATTGGTTTACTATAGATGCAAAGCAGATTCATTTTATAAACAGTTTCTGCACGACAACAACACATACGTTAAATAAAGAAAAAAAAGAGAAATCAGAGCCTACTGATTTATTGTTTACAACACTGATTACCAGAAAACTCTGGAATAGAAAGTCGACTTTTAAACTCAAGTTATGAGTTATGACTTTAAATAGAATATGGGGATTGATTCTGTTGGAATTGAAAATAAATTAACAAGAGCTATATCTGGTTTTTGAATTATACCTGATCACATATCCAGTTGTGTTGAACTGGGAGAGAGTACAGATAGTTCTCATGTGATGTATTGTACTGTATAATACCCTGGAGATNTGGACACTTCTCCTCTCCTACCCATAGTTCTCATGTGATGTATTGTACTGTATAATACCACCTCCACATACATCCCCTGTACTTGGACACTTCTCCTCTCCTACATAGTTCTCATGTGATGTATTGTACTGTATAATACCACATCCACATATATCCCCTGTCGTTGTCGTATATATCAATACAATGAAGACAAAATTTCGATTTAAGTTTTTGATATCTGTCAAGCCTTTAAGCAGCATTGATACACATATAAACATTGAAACAAAGATAGATGTCAATTTACAGATTAAATTTGTTTATTTGTAATTGGAAAAAAAGCTTGGTAGAAATCAAAACTGAAATAGAAAAGTCGTCTTCATGTAATTATTATGAACGCCGACGACTGCAGATATTCACTAAAATATTGGCAAATTGAGAAAAACAATGATATCCCTGGCAATTTTGGTCTTCAAAGGTTTTTAAGTTACAGTCAGTAATCAGGCATATATTATTCTGATCGAATGGAGGGTTAATTGGCATACCGTATAGCACAGATAGACAGTCATGATAATGATGCTTACAATTTCAAAGATCTTCGTTATCTGTCTAGCAAAACGATCACTCAAGCATTCTTTTATAAGTTCTTACCTAGGCTGCAATACCAGTCGGGTGGATCGCTGTTACAAAAAATCAGATTAGAAATAACAAGGAAAAATAAAAATATTTCAAAATTATGGAGAGAAAATAGAAAATTAGAAAAAACAGAATAAATAAACCATAAAAAAGAATGAAAGATTTAAAAGGTATGAAGAAAAAGAAATACAAATGATGAATGATTCATTGGTGTATAAAAACTGATTTATTTTCCTAACTATGTATATAAGTTGAAGAAAAGAAAGAGCCCCTAGAATTGCAACAATAGTCTGAATCAATTACACACTGTAACAGTTAACAAGGAGGGACTTACTTTTATTTAATTTTAATTGACATAGTTAGTTTCATCAAACTGAGATTATTTTTTAATTTGAATTTAAAGGTTGGAACCCTTAATAGCACTAATCATTATTTTGTATTTCGATGGATTAAATTAAATCATTTTAGACATTTTGAGAGGTTTTCCAAATTAGTGTCTGCTTTCGATCCCATTGAGAATACGTAAAAATACAAGTCAGCTGTTTACACGGGGTTAGCGCTTAATCGTTTCAAATTAAAATTGGCGACCTGCAACAAAAAAATTTCCATCTCGGGCAATATTTTTTTAATAAACAGTGATAGCCAGAAAATTTTGGAATAAGAGAAACCAATTATAGCAATAATCAATGTATTTTATTTTATTAAACACTTCATAAGTCACTAATCTAGTGAAATGGGTTTGTTTAAACTGGACCATTGCTGTGTCTCATGCTCATTGAATTTTTAAAATTATGACTTGATTCTACAAGTCGTCTTTCTATTTTAGAGTTTTCTGGTTATCACTGTAATTTGATCATTGATCACACTTGTTGAATGTTATATGAGTGTGTGTCCCTGAAACACCCAGATTTGAAAATGCTGAAATTTTCCGAATCCAAGCAGAGTATCAAGGTCAGGGTAAATCTATAGATAGGGAAATATAATATAAAAGGTAAGATAAATATGGAGATAAAAATAAAAATATAAAATAAAGATGAAAATATAGAATAAAAATAAAAATATTAAACAATGATAAATATGTGAAAGTTTGTCACTTAATGATTGATCGTCAAAATAATTAATCCTTGCTGTCAAAATAATTAATCCTTGCTGTCAAAATAATTAATCCTTGCTGTCAAAATAATTAATCCTTGCTGTCAAACTAATTAATCCTTGCTGTCAAAATAATTAATCCTTGCTGTCAAAATAATTAATTCTTGCTGTCAAAATAGTTAATCCTTGCTGTCAAAATAATTAATCCTTGCTGTCAAAATAATTAATCCTTGCTGTCAAACTAATTAATCCTTGCTGTCAAAATAATTAATCCTTGCTGTCAAAATAACAATCAGTTTTTGTAGATTTAAAAATAATTTTACCAATTTTACAATGGTTGGCGAATATATCAATACATTGAAGACACATTTTGTAATTAGGTTTTGATTGCTTTATTCGAATTACAAGTTTACAAGACATTAAAGAGAAGCTTTTTTAATTGACAGCTTCTCTTTGTTTCCATGTTATTGTACAGCCATGCTGTTTTGAAGCTTGATATGAATCAAAATTGAAATTAAAAGTTGTCTTTTTAGTTCTGATATTTGCAACGACGACTGTATTGGATGTAAAAATGTTTTTTCAAATTAAATATTATGATTATATTATATTTAAAAATGTCTGTTTCTTGCAATTTTGAAAAAATTATGAGTTTTTGCAATTATTTTACCTTCTCCAAAGATCCATGTCTATGCATTTTGAAATTTTAGTCAAATTCACCAGACTTTACATAACAGACAGCACAAGCTTAGTATAGTTTATCAAACTGTGCTTTCTAATCATTAAATTGAAGTTTATTATCTTTAAGTAAACAAATTGCCACGCATTATCTGCAATATGTCAAAAATGTCAACAATGTCTTTGTAGATATACAGCCAATCAAATTAAAAAAAATCAGAAAAAAAAGAATTTCTTTTAGTATTGTCAAACAAAACTTTCTCCAAATAAGAAAATTAAAAAAAATAGGCTTTAAATAAAATTTATCATCACCCTTGTTTAAAGTACGATGTAAGCGACCACAAAGTGACAAAAGGTCGCGCTTTTTTAAAATCAAATTTTAACAGGGGTCATTCTTAAACACAAACGATAATTTTTTAAAACTATTTTCTCCGATTTGACTAAAATTTATACACAGCAAAGTATTAGAATAAACAAACATATTCTTTTTTATGGTGGGATCTTTGCGGTCGAAGTGAGAGAGAAACCAACCTTTTTTATTAGAAAAAGACTAAAAATTTCAAATTGAAAAAAAAAATTACAATGGTCATTTATAACATTTTTGATTTTGATTCTTTCACTGTGTTCATGCATGTGATATGTAAAAATTAAAGTTAAATAATATTTTCAAATGAAATTGTTTTAGTTTTTAATGGAAATTAAATAAGACTTCTTTAAATAACATTTAGAGGTGAGAACTTTTGTTAATCTTTAACGCTTGATCTGGATATTCAATGTGGACACTTTTAAATACCCTTTAATTAGAGTTATCTCTGTAGGGTATGAGCTGTAACCACAACAGGATATCAAGAAAGGAATTTAAAAAATCCGTAGATCTGATTTAAATGAAGAGCAGGGTATGACAACAACGAGATTTACTGGGGTAAGCGATTGTATCAATATAATGAAGACGACGTTTAATTTCGATTTTGATTTATTTCCAGCTTTCAAATAGCTCGGATACACAAAAACATGAAAGCAAAGAGAATCTATCTTGAAAAAATCTTCTCTTTAATTAAAAGCTTGTCAACATTTAAAATTGAAATAAAAGATTGCCTTCATTATATTGATAAAATGGCCCACCACCGTATCAAAGAGTAGATTAAATTTATCCGTGCATAGATCTGTTTTAGATGGATATCATAACGCTTGAATTGATCCCAGAACAAAACTTTTTATGAGTCTGCACACTTCTCATGAGGACTTTAACGCGTGTCGGGATTAATTTACGATAATTCTGAAAATGCATAACCAAAATTTTGAATGGTCCTTCCTAACATGAAAATAAAAACAATGAATAGATTGTGTTTGTACGGGCCCCGCCCCGCCTACATTAAAGCTTTGTTGTTCTTGCAAATCTCATTGACGACATGACAATAGTTTCGCAATATTGTTTATTGTTACCCTTTTTTTAGCATTGTATAATTTTTAACTACTATGCTCTGAATCACGGTTCCTTGTTACACGTAACAATAGAATATGTCGATATCATAAAGTGTGAGAATTTTTATTGTGACTTATTTTCAAATTTTCTGTTAACACACTTGGAACGTAATTTGTTGAATTTGATCTAGGTAGCTGAACTGTCCACTGCCGGTTCAGCGACCTCTATAATTTATTAAATTTGGTCCAAAACTCAGAAATTCTCTAGTTTATATTCGTAGCTAGTTGAACCACTTCTCTAGAACCTAAACTGGTGACAACAATAGCATGACATCCTACAATGCATTTTCGTATTTTGTCGCGATTTTAAGTAATATCAAGTTATTTTGTATTTCCATTTTCCTTGTGTTCAGTTTTATGCTTGAACCCACTAGGTTCAGCAGCTTTATCTCCTCCCTCTCGGCTCTCTTCAACACTAGGTTCAGCAGCTTTATCTCCTGCCCCTCGGCTCTCTTCAACACTAGATTCAGCAGCTTTATCTCCTCCATCTCGGCTCTCTTCAACACTAGGTTCAGCAGCTTTATCTCCTCCCCCTCGGCTCTCTTCAACACTAGGTTCAGCAGCTTTATCTCCTCCCCCTCGGCTCTCTTCAACACTAGGTTCAGCAGCTTTATCTCCTCCCTCTCGGCTCTCTTCAACACTAGGTTCAAAAGCTTTATTTCCTCCATCTCGGCTCTCTTCAACATTAGGTTCAGCAGCAGGAACAGCTTTATCTCCTCCCACACGGCTCTCTTTAACACTAGGTTCAGCAGCAGGAACAGCTTTATCTCCTCCCACGCGGTTCTCTTTAACACTAGGTTCAGCAGCTTTATCTCCTCCCCCTCGGCTCTCTTCAACACTAGGTTCAGCAGGTTTATCTCCTCCATCTCGGCTCTCTTCAACATTAGGTTCAGTAGCAGGAACAGCTTTATCTCCTCCCACGCGGCTCTCTTTAACACTTCTATCATCAGATTTTAACCCGTGTTTGATCGCTTGAAATATAATATCATCGTTTATAATCTCAGAAATATTATTGTCCTTTTCTTCCGCTATTGAAACTTCACTTAGCTTTGACATGTTAAGGACTTTATTATGATTATTGCATCTTAGTAAACATTTTAAGGCCTGAAAATACAATTTATCTTAATTCTAATATGAATTATAAAAGATTAAGAACTATAAAGTTGCAAAAACAAACAATTATCTTTTAAGTGGCAAAAATTCAATTACAATTAATAATTTTTTATTTTTAATTAAAATTTTTGGTGGAAGGGTGAGGGGGGGGGCTAAAAATCCTTGGTATTTGATAATGATAATCTCATTATAAGTTATCATTTTATTTATTGGCCACATACTTTTCTGTTACAACTTGAGTAAATTTCAAAATTTTTGTCTCTTAACTTTATTTTTATTTGTTCAAAAAGTATGTCAAAATCTACCGTTTTTTGTATTTGTTTACATGGTTACAGCTGTTAGTTTAAGGGTTGTTTTTTTCCTTTGAAATTTTGGAAAATTATTTTTTTCGACTTGGTTCGTACTAAAATATAATAATTATTAGTAAAAAAAAGATGGTGAAAAAACAGAAATTTCAGTCTATGATAACAGATCATGTTTAACAATTCTAAATTTTGTGATTTTTACATACTTTAATGAACAAGCTAATTTTTCGGGGAAATGGGAATTATGGAATTAGAAATAACATATCGGGACTTGGGGTGCTCGCTGCTAGGAATAAAGAATATTAATAATATTTAAAAAATAGTTTCAAACTCAAGCTTCAAAGCGCATACAATTCCACTATTTTGAAAATTGAATATTTTGAAACTGAAAGATATTTTTATTTGAATTTTCTTAATTATGTAGAAAAAGCAGAAGAACTGGAAGGAATATTGGGTTAACAATAATACNCCCCCCCCCACCTCACTGAACATGCTTCTGCTGTCCTGCGGACTGAATATTTGACTGTTGAGGGTACAATTATTGATGTATTAACCACTTGATAGTGTTCACTCAACTGAATATATATTTGGGAGTAAACTCAATACTCATTCATCCATGTAGATTTATATTTACTGAAGACGACATGAAGGCATATTATTTCCTTCTACACATTTTTAAACAAACTTACGTGGCTTTTAGTGCAACCCTTTTCAAGTATATAGTAATTAAGCTTTATAGATTTTTCTGATGCATGCACAATGTGACAAAAAAGGCAAAAAGTTGGAAGAAAATAAAATTAAGGGTAAAATCGTCAAAAAGTCTCATAGAATGCTATAAATAGTTATCTTCAAAAACAGTCATTGCCCAATTTGTGTGAAATTAAATTTTGAAGACATTTTGATCTTTAAAAAAATCGGGGAATTTTTTAAACATAAAATATGGTTTTGGTTTGAAATAATATTTTTTTCTGAACAAACGTATCACGATCTATTTTTCGTAATGCATACTAAACTTGAATCTCTAATAAAAAATCCATTATGGGGTTGCCTACTCTACTGCTTAATGCTTGAAACAAGAGGGATTAACTTTCTTTGGGCTCATGTGAGGCACAACAAAAAATGTGAGCACAATCGTTCAGCTGATTTGATGTTTCTCGGGTACAAACAAACACTAAACAATAAAAATATTCTGGTCCTTGGAAACTATTATCAAAATTATCAAAATTAAATGCTTTCATCCTCCACGGATACTAAACTAACACTGATGCATCTATTCTTGTTTCAATATTGCGTATACCAGAGTATACGCAACTGCAAGTAACTTTCCTTGCATTTTAACCTTGAAACAGGATATAAGTTATCTAGGATATAAACTTTAAAAAAAAACCCTTCTTTTTTCTCTTTCCTTGGGGTCATGTGACAATATTATGGACCAAACAATTCAGTGGTGTATGGTAGAAAAACTATGTATAGAGATTATAAAGACAGAATGTTATGGCAAATAATTGCAAGCAGTTTCTTTCAGAGACAATATCGATCGACAGAATTTGATGTGCATTAAAATAAGATTTAAATATTGGGCCCAAACCTAAAATACTTGTTAAGAATTATGTACGCAACTTAGTTTTAAACTCCAAAGGCTTCCAAACTGCACCCATGCATGCAATAAACACTTTTGTTTAGGATAAAAACACTTATTCACGTTTAAATAGCACATTCACAGTGACTTTAGCTGATCTCTTGTATTATTTAATACTTGTAACTACACTGATATTTGATATTGTCTCAGAGTTTAACATAAATTGTAAACACAATAGACAATCTAAAAAGTGTTAATAAAATTGTATATTTCAGTAACAAGCTTATATAGGAGCAACACTGGGTTTAGGTCTTTACAACTTAAAATTGATCAAGGTGATTCATTTTACCCAGAAACTTGATCATTGATTACAATTTGATTAAACACTTGAGCTGGAAAATTTTAAATATACATATTAAATTCGATTTTGTATATTCAGGTGTAAAGCTCATATGTTTAAATAAATGATAACCTTAACCATAATGATATTTTATAATCTAAAATTTAAACATTAACAAGAAGGGGAGTATAGTAGTATATTAACAAGTTTAATTTTATAATAATAGAAACTAGAAATTTATATAAAAGCTAATATATCTATCTATTTATTGATAATCCAGTTTCTTTTTTAAAAATAACCTTTCCTCCGATTTTTTTTTTCAAAGCTGGGACTTAGAAAAATTGAATTTTCATAAGATGATTAGCTAAACTCTTTTACTAAAACTTTCGAAGAATATTACTAAGAAGATTTTTGAGTAACATCTAATCTTCTCACAAATAATGAGTTTAACTAATTCTGTTCATTCAAAATTTCCCAGTTCTAAAAAACCTCTTGATATTTTTGTACACGCATTATATTTGACTGATGGAAATGCAACAAAATTTAGCAGAACAAAATTTTTTTCTTCAAATTTCATAGAAATTGGATTTTCAAATGCAGTTGATTTTTGATTTTAATTTTTTATTAATTGAAAATGAAAAGAAGTTTAGGTTCGTTAGAAAAGTACTCATGAATCATCAAAATATTCAGTGAAAGAGAATTAAGATGCTGATATGAAGATTTAAGTAAAAATCACAAATTTCAAAAAATAAAGATCAATATGGAGGTATTCAATGTACAACACATTAAGAGAAACAAAACTAAACAAGATTTTCTGTTTTGATCCATTGTGTTGTTAAACCTTTATCTTCACTTCAAATCAACAGATCCATCCTAAAAAAAAGATTGAATAAATTAAATTCAGAAATTTGTAATAACATTTTTGGTCAGAGAAAGTGTACTAGGACAACTGCGTAAAGAAAAATTAAGTTTTTGAAGATAATGGAAACTACCATAAATGAATAAAAGTTATTTTTAATATAAACATCTACTTAATGGACCTATTTGTAACATTAACTTAAATAAAGAAAGAAAAGTAATTAAATACCAGCCTGAAACAAAAATATTAATAACTTACTGATGAAATTGTGCTTGATCGTTTTACAAAATCTCTGGAAGGTTTTGGCTCTTGCCTCCTCACTGCAGAAGTTTTTGTAACAGTCTTCTCAAGGACTCTTCCTGCCCCATCTCTTACTACGCGGGTATTTGTGGAGATTTCTCTTGCACTAAATGAAGAAAAAACTGTCTGTTTGAAAAATAATATCAATTTAAAAAGTTGTAAATGAAATTATGTACTACCTGTGTTTAGATGGGTTTGTCACACTAGTGGTACGAATAGGAACAGGGGGAGGGCAAGATGGTTTCTTTTTGTTGCTGCAGGCTGATGGTAGTGCTCTTGAACCCAACCCCTTGCCTTGAGATGGGATTGGTTTGGTCCGAGCTGTGACTGATGATGTTCTAGGGTTTGTTTTAGGCTTTGTACCTCCTGTATTAAAAATACTGGCTGGTTTAGGATCAGTTGTGGTTGGAGATAGTATCTTGGGAGGTGTATCATGGTGACAATCACATGAACATTCTTCAGGGGAAACAATCTGGGTCCCAGACATGGTTTGCAGTGAGGACTCTTTGGCATCAGAAGCTTTTTGTTTACTTCCCTCTGAACTGTACTTTTTTACTGTCTTCTTTGTTTCTGGTAATTTTTCACAATCCACCCAGTCTTGTTTCCCTATAGTTGAATGAGTTTTGCAAACATTGATAGTTTTAGTTGATGATCTTTTCTGACTTTGCAACCCAGCTGCAGAAAAATCATCCCAAGACTCGTTTTCTGTTTTTTGTTTCAATATTTTAGATTTGGACTCTTGTCTGGGAAGCTTTACTGTAATTTTATCTTGTGATCCCTCCCTAGAGGGACCTTTCTTATCTTGTCCTTGCAAATAATCTTCTAATTTACCTGGTTTCCGAGGAGAATTACTTCTAGGTCTATCTATGCTAGTCAGCTTACAATCTGATAGTCGTTGGTTCGAAGGTGTGATAGTTACAATACCTTTACGCTCTTCTGGCAGAGTTGTTTCAATATAGGGAAATTCGCCATCTGCAGATTCTTGTTTAAATAGCTGAGCACCTTCATCATCACTGTTTAAATCCTGGGACTTCTGTGCTTTTAACTTTTTCTTTATATAATCTGCTTCACTTGTACTTCTTTCAGAATTTTCAAGCTCAGGATCAGAATCAGGGGCCTGAAGTGCCTTGACTTTATCCAGTGTTGGTTTGGGCGCTTGTTTAAGCCAGTTTTGCTCAACTGCAGTGAGAACAACATGAATGAGATCTTTCTTCAAATCTTCATCTTGTTCTCTATGTTCATTGTCTTGAATGCTGTTAATGATAGTACCATTAGATTGGGTATTTGAAAACTCTGTCTTCTTCTGATTATGCACGGTTCTCTCCTGCAACATATCTATAGTTAATCCATTATCTCCGGATGCTTGTCTGGACAAGTTATCATCGCTTCCTGCTGACTCTGTATCAGAACTACTTTCTTTTCTATAGAGCACCTTCTTCTTTGTTGGTGTTTTAGGGGTTTCTTTTTTTTTGAAATCATTATTAGGGTTATCACTAAATTTAAATTCTACATTATTCATTGGATTGCTTAGAGGGGAACAAATTTCAGAGGATGGAGCAATAACCTTAGTTTTCTCTGATTTTTTAAACATAGAAGAAAAAAATCCTCCTATTTTTATCTTTGTTTCCTCCTTTTTTATTGGAAGAGAGAGAGGTTTCCTCTCTCTTTCTTTTGATTTACTTCTTGTTCGATTCTGAGCATCCTCAGAATTTAGAGCAATAGATTTATCTCTCCCTTGTTTAGAAGGCGAAACAGGACTAGGAATATCACTATTTTTTTTGAAAAAGTTTTGTAAAGATTCTTTTCTTATCAAAGTTTGTTGAAGAAAACTCACTGCTTCACTTGCTTGAGATTGAGCTAACTCAGATGGTTTAATTGGTTGCTCATTTGTTTCTGTAAAAGCATCCAACTCTTTTGTATTTTGAGGTACTTTTGGAATAGAAACTTCTTTCAGTCTGTTTGATCGAGCAGGAAGTGGGGATTTGGGAACATCTGAATATAAAGGAACTTTTGGCACTATTTGAGAGGTATTTTTACTTTGATTTTGCTTACTATCATAACGTGTTGGAACAGGAGGAACCCTTTTGGAGTTATTGAATAATGGGCCAGTCATTGCACATGGAGCAATGTTGTCAAAGTCCAAAGAAGGCTGTGGAGTCATAGGCACTTTGTGAACTTTCCCACCTTTGTGTCCCTTAAATTTAGATTGAATTTTTAAAGCTTCTGCTAAAGTTTCAGCATCGCATAATTCTGGTAATTCATCGTTTTCATCATCTTCTAAATGGGCGACTTTTTTCCTTACTGTAAATCCACGGAATACTGACTGTATTTTTATTGCTGCTTCCAAAACTTCTTGATCATTCAGGTCTGGTAGAGATTCAACTGAGTTTTTCTTTGCTTTATCTCTCACTTGAAATCCTCTAAACACTGACTGAATCTTAATTGCTGCTTCTTTTAAATCGTTATCTGTTAGATCTACCAATGATTCTTCTTCACACTTTGTCTTTTGATCCCTTACTTTAAACCCTCTGAATGCCGATTGTATCTTAATGGCGGCATCTAGCATTTCTTTGTCATTGAGGTCTATTAAGGATTCAGCAGATGTTTGTTTTGCCTTGTCCCTGGCCTGGAATCCTCTGAAAGCTGCTTGAATCTTAATTGCAGCATCCAAAACTTCATGGTCATCAAGGTCTGGTAGAGCATCACATGAGTCCTCTTTTATTTTGTCTCGAATCTGGAATCCTCTGAAAGCTGCTTGAATCTTTTTGGCTGCATCTTGCACTTCTTTGTCCTCAAGATCTGGTAAAGTTTCCTCCTCAATGATAGCTTTCTTATCTCTAACTTTAAAGCCTCTAAATGCAGATTGTATCTTGATTGCAGCAGCAAGTACTTCTCTGTCATCAAGGTCTGGTAGAGGTTCAATAGATGGTTGTTTTGCTTTGTCTCGAACCTGGAATCCTCTGAATGCAGCTTGAATCTTTTTTGCTGCATCTTGCACTTCTTTGTCCTCAAGATCTGGCAATATTTCTTCTTCATTTAGAGCTTTCTTATCTCTTACTTTTAAACCTCTAAATGCAGATTGAATCTTTATGGCGGCATCTATTACTTCTCTATCATTAAGATCTGGAAGGGATTCATTAGATGTTTGTTTTGCTTTATCACGAACCTGGAATCCCCTGAATGCAGTTTGATTTTTTTTTGCTGCATCTTGCACTTCTTTGTCTTCTAGATCTGGCAATATTTCTTCCTCATTTAGAGTTTTCTTATCTCTTACTTTAAAACCTCTAAATGCAGATTGAATCTTTATGGCGGCATCTATTACTTCTCTATCATTAAGATCTGGAAGGGATTTATTAGATGTTTGTTTTGCTTTATCACGCACCTGGAATCCCCTGAATGCAGCTTGAATCTTTTTGGCAGCATCCTGCACATCTTTGTCTGTTAAATCAGGCAATGATTCTTTTTCACTACTCTTATCTTGCTGTTCCCTAACCTTGAACCCTCTAAATGCAGATTGTATTTTGATGGCAGCATTCAGAATATCTTTGTCACTTAGATCAGGTAAAGACTCAATTGATTTTTGCTTTGTTTTTTCTCTAGCCTGAAATCCTCTATAGGCTGATTGAATTTTTATAACAGCATCTTTAACATCCATGTCATCAAGATCAGGCAATGATTCTTCATCATTTTTGTTTATTTGATCCCTAACCTTAAACCCTTGAAAAGCTGACTGTATCTTAATTGCTGCTTCTAATATATCTTTATCATTTAAATCTGGTAATGATTCTTCTTCATTCCTTCTACTTTGATGTCGAACCTGGAAACCTCTAAAAACAGACTGAATCTTCAGAGCTGCATCCTGAACTTCTTTTTCTGACAAATCTGGTAGGTCTTCCTTGTTTTCCTTTATCCTTTTGTCTCTAACTTGAAAACCTCGAAATGTTGATTGTATCTTGATAGTTGCATTTAGAATATCCTTATCGTTGAGATCTGGTAAATCATAACTATCTGGAGTGCACAGAGGGGTTCTTTGTTTATCCTAAAAAAGAAAAAATAATTATGATCACCTAAATCTGAATTATTATTTCTATTATGATTAGTTATTTTTCTATTTAAATATTGTTTAAGGGTTTGTAAATATATTTCAAATGACCCTTCATTGATAGAGTGACATGTCTGATTCACAACAGTACCCTGAAAATCTTTTTCTCATCAAGTAAAAACTAAATATCAAAACTTTTGTTTGTTGAAAACTAAGTATTTTCATTTGTAACTTTTTCATTTGTTGTTTCAGAATTAATGGATAATATATCAGATAATGTATCACTTTTTAAACTAGAAAAGTGACACTTTCTTCCACATTGTCACAAGTTTGATCAGATAAAAGTACCCTTGTGAATTATTAATGCCCCCTCCTTAAATTAAGGGTCACTTAAAATTACAAAAACAGTCTCTTTAAGAATTGCTTTGGCACCTGTTTTAAGCCTGAAGTTGGATGAATATTTACAGCTGACTTAGAGCTATCTTTACTCTTTTTGTAGTTTCTAAAAGCTCTCTGAATTATTAAAGCTGATCTGGCCATTTCATCAAATCGTACTGTTTTCTTTTCATGTGAACCAGTTTTGGAATGATGAGTAGATTCTTCACAATCATCTCCATTGATATTTGATGCTTCCTCATCTTCTGACTCTGTTTCTGATGAATCTGGTGGCTCTTTTCTAACTTGTGAATTAGATTCTGATGAACTTGAATCAGATTCAGATCCTTCAGGTTCTTCTTCATCATCACTGGTATCATAGCTGGAGGAATTAGATTCTGTGTCAGAGGAGTCATTATCCTCTGATTTTTTTTTCTTTACCTTTTGCTTTTTCTTTGAACTATTCTTTTTTTCAGCAATTCTTCTAAAGAATCTTTGGAGTGTAATTGCTGCCATAACCACATCTGCTGGATGATGAGAAAACTCACTTGAGCGCTCTTCTTTCAGAACATCTGGTGGAAGACCTGGTAATTTCTTTGGTCGTCTGATCAGGTCTCTTTCATCTACAATTTCCGGATAGCTTTTTTTAACTCTTTGTCCAACAGATGTGGGAAATTTGTCTATTATAGGTGCAGGTTTTTTTGCCATACTTTTCATTGCCACTGGTGCTGGTTTTATTTTTCTAGCTCTAAACATTTCCTCTTTCGGAATATCAATTGATGTTAATGGGGTTTTAGGCAAATTTTTTAACATTTTTGAACTTTTAAGGTCTTGATTTAGTCTCACCATTAGAGCTGCAGCAGCAATATTAGCTGCTGTTTCATCTTGACGTGCTTCTTGTTGTCTAAATGCTTGTCTTACTTTAAAACCTCTGTAATATGCTTGAATTTTCAATGCAGCATTTACTAACTCTGGAGCTTTTAGATCTGGCAGATCCTCTCCAGAATCATTTAGCTCTTTTCTGGTTTTAAAACCTCTATAAGCAGATTGAATCTTCAGTGTTGCATCTTTTACTTGTGCACAGTTTAAGTTTGGTAGCACTTCCTTATGTTTATTTATCATCTTCCTAGCCTTATATCCCTTAAACACAGCTTGGATCTTAACTGTAGCAGCGGCAACATCAGCAGCTTTAAGGTCAGGCAAATCCTCTCCAGATGCCTTTAGCTCTTTTCTTGTTTTAAAACCTCTGTATGCAGATTGTATCTTTAAAGTTGCATCTTGTACTTTGGCACAGTTTAGGCTGGGCAGTTCTTCCTTTTTTGCTTTTACCATTTGTCTGGCCTTATAACCCTTAAAAGCAGCTTGTATTTTGACAGTGGCTGCTGCTACATCAGCAGCATTCAAGTCAGGAACAGTAGCGGCTGCTAAATCAGCAGCATTCAAGTCAGGAAGGTCTTCACCACTGGCCTTCAACTCCTTCCTGGTTTTAAACCCTCTATAAGCAGACTGTATCTTCAATGTTGCATCTTGTACTTGTGCACAACTTAAGTTTGGGAGAAATTCCTTGTGCTCTTTTACCATTTTTCTAGCCTTGTATCCTTTAAACGCTGCTTGTATTTTGACAGTAGCTGCTGCTACATCAGCAGCATTTAAGTCAGGAAGATCTTCTCCATTTGCCTTCAATTCTTTTCTTGTTTTAAAACCTCTGTATGCAGACTGAATCTTCAATGTTGCATCTTGTACTTGTGCACAATTTAAGTTTGGGAGCACTTCCTTGTGCTCTTTTACCATTTTTCTAGCCTTGTATCCTTTAAATGCTGCTTGTATTTTGACAGTAGCTGCTGCTACATCAGCAGCATTTAAGTCAGGAAGATCTTCACCATTGGCCTTCAACTCTTTTCTGGTTTTGAAACCTCTGTATGCAGACTGAATCTTCAATGTTGCATCTTGCACTTGAGCGCATTTCAAGTTAGGCATAGCTTCCTTATATTCTTTAACCTTTTTTCTTGCCTTATACCCCTTAAAAGCAGCTTGTATGGTGACAGTGGCTGCTGCTACATCTGCAGCATTCAGGTCAGGAAGGTCTTCACCACTCGCCTTCAACTCTTTTCTTGTTTTGAAACCTCTGTATACAGATTGGATCTTTAATGTTGCATCTTTTACTTTCGCACAATTTAAGTTCGGTAGCACTTCCTTATGTTGTTTAATCATCTTCCTAGCCTTATATCCCTTAAACGCAGCTTGGATCTTAACTGTAGCAGCGGCAACATCAGCAGCTTTAAGGTCTGGCAAATCCTCCCCAGATGCCTTTAGCTCTTTTCTAGTTTTAAAACCTCTGTATGCAGATTGTATCTTTATTGTTGCATCTTTTACTTGTGCACAATTCAAGTTTGGTAGCACTTCTTTGTGCTCTTTAACCATTTTTCTAGCCTTATACCCTTTAAAAGCAGCTTGTATTTTAACAGTAGCAGCAGCAACATCAGCAGCTTTAAGGTCAGGCAAATCATCCATTGTTGCCTTTAGCTCTTTTCTTGTTTTAAAACCTCTGTACGCAGATTGTATCTTCAGGGTTGCATCTTGTACTTGGTTACAGGTTAGGCTTGGCAGTTGTTTCTTTTGCTCTTTCACCATTTTTCTAGCCTTGTATCCTTTAAACGCTGCTTGTATTTTGACAGTGGCTGCTGCTACATCAGCAGCATTCAAGTCAGGCAGATCTTCGCCTGAAGCATTCAGCTCTTTTCTGGTTTTAAACCCTCTATAAGCAGATTGTATCTTTAAAGTTGCATCTTGTACTTGTGCACAATTAAGATTTGGAAGAAGTTCTTTATGCTCTTGAACCATTTTTCGAGCTTTATATCCCTTAAAAGCAGCTTGTATTTTCACTGTTGCTGCTGCAACATCAGCTGCTTTGAGATCTGGTAGGTCACTTCCAGACTCTTTTAGCTCTTTCCTGGTCTTGAATCCTCTGTACGCGGATTGTATCTTTACTGTAGCATCTTGTACCTGTGCACAGTTAAGATTAGGTAGTTGTTCTTTATGCTCTTTGACCATCTTTCTGACCTTGTATCCTTTAAAAACAGCTTGTATTTTTATGGTTGCAGCTGCAACATCAGCTGCTTTTAGGTCAGAAAAATCCTCTCGAGACTCTTTTAGATCTCTTCTTGTTTTGAAACCTCTGTATGCAGATTGAATTTTTAATGTAGCATCTTTAACCTGAGCACAATTTAGGTTTGGGAGGACATCCTTTTGTTTCTTTATCATCTTCCTAGCCTGAAACCCTTTAAAAGCTGCTTGAATCTTTACAGTTGCTGCAGCAACATCAGCTGCATCAAGATCAGGTAGATCTTCTCCTGCATCTTTAAGTTCTTTTTTGGTTTTAAATCCCTTATAGGCAATTTGAGTTTTCTTAGTTGCATCAATAACATCTGAATCTGTTAAGTCAGGAATTTCATTTTCAGTTCTTCCAGGTTTACCAATAACTGGTGTTTCTACTGTATAAGTTGCAGTTCGAATGGGCCTTTTCTTTATTGTAGAACTTTCAGCCATTTTAATGTCTTTAACATTAATTTTTGAAGCTTTTGAATTAACTTGAGTTTTAACTACTGTTTTAGCATCTTTTACTGTTGAAAGTTTAACTTCCTTTGAATTGCCTTTTACAGTAGCAGGGTTAACTTGGGTCTTGACTTGTTTTGAACTTTTGATTGCTGATGAGGTTGGTTTCGAAACTGGTTTGGCTGGGCCAGTTTTAGGAACTACATTTATGGATTGATTTGGTCTGGACTGCTGTAAACCTGTTGCAATTTTAACTGGTTTTGTAGGTTTGGGTTTCTCAACAATTTTTGCAGTATGCTTTTGTAATATGGGTTTTATGCCTTCCAATGCTTTCCTAGTTTGGAATCCCTTAAATTGTGACTGAATTTTTATTATTGCTTTCTCAGCACTTTGTACATCAACAACACCAACTTCTCTCAGTATCTTTATTTTTTGGTAGTTTCTGTATGCACGTTGTATTGTAATAACAGCTTCAACTACATCTGTCCATGCAGCTCTTCTTTTCTTTTCAGGCTTTTTATTAGGTTTCTTTATAAATTTTCTTACAGGTACATCATCAGGGATATCAATGCTGTCATGGTGCTCCCTTATCTCTTCACGAGCTTTGAATCCTCTATAGGCAGACTGAATTCTGATAGCAGCATTCAAAAGATTGGCTGCCTCAGAAAATTTAGATATTCCCTTAACAGCAGAAATTTCCATGGATTCAGAGCTTTTTTCCATAGATCTCTTTGTGACTTTAGAGCGAGGTGTCCGTTTTTGCTGAACATGCTTGTTTTCCTCATCAGAGGAACTGGACTGTGGCCTTGGATATGCTTCTGCTCTTCGCCTTGGGCTTTTAGATTGTTTTTTAGCAACAAATTTGTTCAACTTATCTCCTATTTGTGTTTCTGGTTTAAGAGAAGAGTTGCTTGAATTTTCTTTGGAAGCCTCTTGAACAGGTTGAACATCTTTACTAATCTGCTCTACTAGTGTAGACTCTATTGCTTGCTGATATGAATCTTGTCTTACATTCTTTTTCTTTTTCTTGTCCTCTGGCTGATCATTGTTTTCTATAATCTCAACAACTGTTGCCCCACCATCACTTTCCAATTCATCCTCAATTGCTTGTTGATAAGATGCTTGTCTTGTTCCCAAACTTCGAGCATTCTCCACTTGATTTTGATTTGTCAAAATTACCTCAACTGGTATTTCAACAGCTAACAAGTATGAATCTTGTCTTTTTTTCCAGTTTAGAGGTTGATTCATCAAAATAGGATTCTCTTCTTCCTCTTCATGCATAGCAGCCTGGTACGATTCTTGCCTTTTCTTCCATGATCTTACTTGAGGATCAGGTTCGTCTCCATTACTGTCTGTTGGGCTGTCTAGTGCTGCCAAATAAGAATCTTGTCTTCGTTTCATGGCAGCATTTTTATCATTGGATCCATTCATTAAGTCTTCTTCATTTATCTGCTCTGTCATATTACAAAGAAAAGCTTTGAGGCCTCCAATTTCTTTTCTTGTTTTGTATCCTTTAAAAATAGATTGTATCAAGACTGCTGCTTTGATCTCTTCTTCAGTCTCAGAAGATTCTCTATATACACCATTGTCATCCGTAGGTGTGTCAACTGAACTTATATTTGCATTTGAATCCTGTAGAGTTTTGTTAGTATTTAAGGCATTGTACTTCTCAAGTTTTAGCTTATCAATTGCTTCTTGTTCTCTTTTGTTTCTTCGCTTAATTCTAAAGAGTATATCTTCATTTTCATTTATACATTCCTTAACAACTGTTTTCACAGATTCAGTTCTTTTCAAGGCAATCTTTCTGTTGATTTCTTTATCAATGTAATCCTCATCACTGCTTTCTTCTTCCAGGGCCATGGTATATGAGTCTTGTTTCCTCATTCTAAGATTATTGTTAGTGGTTGGAGGTATACAGATTTGACTGTGACGAGGGGAAACTAAAGGTGTTACATGAGGTGTACCATCATCTCCAAGCCTTACAAATAAAAAGATAAATTGAAGTTAATAGTTAAGAAATTGCATCCTTGTCTTACCTGAAGGTTGGCTTTCTTGAAGAGCTGTCTTCCTGCAATGGTCCTAGGATGCTAGAACGACTACTGATTTCATCATTAAAAGGGGATCTTGAACGCCTACCAAACGAAAATGTTATCCCTTGAAAAAATAAAAAATAAATATTAATCTTTTACCTAATTGCTTCAATGTAAGAGTCTTGTTTGCATAATCCTGAAGTTTGAACCTCTACCGCTCCATCCAGGTCTTTTATCTCTGTATCAGGTGAAACTTCTCCGACTGCCTAAAATTATATTTGTATAGTTTAAAATAAGGAAAATGTCAACAAATTGTATCAAATATTTTTTTTTCTCATTTTATTGCTGTATAAATTGTTTTTGTATATTGTTGTTTAACAGTCAAACATCATTGATTTGAATTACATATTTGCAATCTTTCTACGTAATGTTTGATTTGAAAACTAAATTTAAGAAATTGTAATATTGTTGCTTTGAAACTTTGTTAAGTGGTTTCTCAAGCTCAACTTTTGTTATGAATTAAGTAGAATATAGAGTTAAGTGTTAATTCATTAGCTCAACTTAATTAATTCTATTCTAAAGCCTCAAATAATCTTGAAAGTGTCATGCATGATTAATTGATTAAACAAATTTCTGTAGTTAAAAAAACATCAGGAGGTAATGTACTTTTTAAAAGGTCTGTTTCAAACTTAAGAGTTGAGAGTCTATTTTTTGTTTATTTTGAAGCCTTTAAGTAATGTTTAAGCAGGACTACATTTTAAGAATAAATATATTTAATTGGCGAAAATTACTTTTTATAATACTATTTGTGATTTATAAATTAGCTAAAATCGATACTAAACTTTTAATTTTATTTATTTTTATGACTCTCTTTTTCCCAGCACTTTAGGCATTAATATATAACCATATTTTACACATGACACGCAGCTTTCCTTGTTGTAAATTGAAATAAAACCATATTTTACACATGACACGCAGCTTTCCTTGTTGTAAATTGAAATATAACCATATTTTACACATGACACGCAGCTTTCCTTGTTGTAAATTGAAATATAACCATATTTGACACATGACACTTATGTAGGTTTCATGGATATACCTTGAGATACATTTAGATATAACACACTAAGTCGACAGTTTTCACGGTTATACCTTGAGATATGATTCCTGTTTCCGGATCCTAGCTGCAGATCCATCTTCTCGAATACTATGCTCATCCTGTAACAAGAAAAATTGTAAATATCGTCAAATTTTAAACGGCATGATTTCTTACTAAAATCCCTATAATCTTTGACACCTAATGATGTAGACCTTTGCTATTTAAAATTTTTACTTTGACTAATTTAGAAATGTATGCAAAACAAAACAAGGAAATTGAAAAAAATAACAGTTTGAGGCGAATAATGACTTACTGTTCATGATCATTTCCCTGTTTTTGCTTGGCTTGCAGCATTTGGTTTGATCAAATACAGTTTTTTGAATAAAAAGGACTAAAACTTTTAAATCTAATTATCCGTTAGACTGTGATAATTATAAAACTAAACAAAAATCAGCATGAGGAGCACTAGCTGCAGTACACTTTATTTGTAAACAAAGATATGGAGGTCGTAAAGAATTTTATTTGTTTTAAAACTGGGTCGACTTGATAATGTGTTTCAACGCCTTGGTCTTTATAATTTTACCTCCCTAACTTACCTGAGCAATACAAGTACATTGTACGCAGTAAAATTTAGAACATGTAAAGCAATTGTTTACCTCAAGTTTTTTCAAAATTAATTGGCAAAAATCTCGACAATTTTAGCGAGAGAGCTTAAAACCCTGTGGATCACTGTGAGGGTACCGCTGCTTTTTGTATGTAACTTTCAACTGAAGGGTGCAATGCATAATATTATTTTATATGTCCAGTTAGAAAGTAAAATATTACCTCGAAAGATCCTCCAATAGCCCTCTGATATGAATCTTGTTTTCTGTATTTCAGAATTCTTTTTGTTCTTCGCATAGCAATATCCTAGATTTAGAATATACAGAGTATTTATATTGGACAGAGTAAAACAAATATTGGGGAAATACTTGAAAAAGAATGTCCTTTTCATCTGTTTCATCCTTTTAATCCTTTTCATCCTTTTCATACTTTTCATCTGTTTCATCCTTTTCATCCTTTTATTTATATTTAAGAACATTTCTAGTCTTATTTAGGAAAAAGACCAAAAAGACACGCATTCCGAAGATTTATGTTCACCACTGTATATTCAGAATTTATATTTTTCTTAAACTAAATCTCTCTAAAGTATAGATTTCCTCCCCTCCCCCCTGCCTCCCTTATCCAAATATCGACTTAAGCTTAGACTATTTGTTCTCAATTTTGGCCAACGTTGAATTTGAATTTTAATGGAAATGTTAAAAAAAGAACTTACCTTAACCACTCCACTCTCTACAGCCTGCTCATAGCTTCCTATTCAAACAAAGAGAAATCTAAAGTAAATGATTGTCGCAAAAAATGAAAGAGGTGAAGAATAAATCAAAATTAAATGATGAAACAAAAACCGATTATTCTTAATCCCACACTCCTATCCTTCTTTGGTACCAGTCCATTAACCCTACCTCTGGGGGTACTTGAAAACCAGGATACACGGGGGGGGGGGAAAATTTGACCCCCCTCCAAATTCCATGTTTTATGTCCAAACATGACAAATTAGTCATCATTGGATACTATGGATAGCTCTAATTGGATACTATGGATACTATCATTGGATACTATATTGGGTACTATCATTGGATACTATTGGATGGCTCGTATTGGATACTATGGATACTATTATTGGATACTATATTGGATACTATCATTGGATACTATGGGTAGCTCTTATGCTCTACATTTTGAATGTGCTAAACAAATTCCAGTTAAATATTAAAAATATACATTTTTGAAAAGCCTTTGACCATGCCATTTCAAATATGCAAAATGTTTTGCAAAATTTTAAATAACCTGATGTGGGTATTTAGGAAATGTCAGAAAATTTCAACAGCCTCAGACCAGTACTTTTTAATTTATGTAAAAAAACTACGGGGGGGGGGGGGG